ATCAAGATCAGATGGTAGGACGACTGCTGATAAGACCCTAGAAACAGAAATGCATGGAAAAACAAGATCATCAAAACAAGGACATCTTAGAGAGGGAAAGCCATGTAGTCTCTACACCGCTTCACTGCAGCTGGCATTTTATTGTCAGAATCTCACAATAGGCTAAGGAGACGGCTCAGCTGCTAACGTGCTTGCTCCAAAAGCATGAGGACCTGAGTTTGGCCTCAACATTACCTATGCACAAAGCTGGTTGGGATTGCATGCGCCTGTCATCCCAGGGCCAAAGAGGTAGAGACAGAATTTCAGGGACTTGCACAACTAGCCAGTTCACAAGCCAGCTCCTTGGCAAGTTTAGTGGGAAACCTTGTCTCAAAAGTGGGGGTGGAGAGGGCTGGAGACCCGGCTCAGTGGTTAAGAGCACTTGCATGCCATGGCAGGTGTGTAGAGGTAAAAGGACAATGTAAAGTTGGTTCCCTTTGATATTTTCGTGGTCAGGAGGACAAGACTAAGGTTTTCGAATGTTGAATGGCAAGCACCTTTACCCACTGAACTATTTCACCAATCATGCTCTTCGTTTTAAGGAACGTTGTAGGAATGATGTCCTTTTGAAATTATATAACTGCATAACTGTGAAATCCATCTAAAATGAAAACCATAAGTGTCGTGAAGAGTGGTGACTGCAGCTGATGTCCCCATTCGGGTGCTGCCCAGTGTGCGAGCAGCAGGTATGGGGAGCCAAAGATGCCTTGAGTGCATGTAGAAAGAGCAAGTGAAGTCCTGAGTAAATAGGCGTTGTTGGCACGGGGCACAGCCATGTCAAGGACCCGTGCTTCCGACCCATGGGAATCTTATCCTGATACCCATAGGTAAGTGTGGTTACCTCTCCCCATCAAAGAACCTTCTCTTTACAGCAAATGGAGACCATCACAGAAAACCTCAACTGGACTCAATGCAGAGACTGACAGATCATGGGAGCCCAGCCCCAACGGGGCTACATCACAGCTCCTGCGTCGATGGCTTAAGGAACCTGGTGGAAGAAGCGGGGAAGGATTATGGGAGCCAAAATACCAGGAAGTCTGCTGTGAAACAGTCTCTCCTACAATGGCTACATAAACAAGACTGGAACAATAGAAGTATCAATGAACATGTGAACACGAAAGCGGGGAGAGTTCACAGGCTCTCAGTCCGAGACGAAGAACTACAGGCAGCCGTTGACTACTGGGGAAGGAGTATTAGCTTCTCCCAGGGATGAGATCCAGTATTGGCTGGCCAGTGCAGAGTGGTCAGCCTGGAAACCGTTCCACACAAACAACAGAAACAGACTCAGCAGGCTGCATATGTAACAGATTATCCAAGAAGAAGAGGCTATCCACTTGAGAGAGTGAGGTCATAGGAGAGGTTTGAGGGAGGATGGCTGGAGAGAGGAAATGGAGGAGGGCAGCGACATAATTCTATTTTAATGGAAAACATTTTTTTTTCTTAAAAGAAAGCAAGCCGAGCAAGCCATGGGAAGCAAGCCAGGAAACAGTGTTCCTCCGTGAACTCTGCTTCAGTTCCTGCCTCCAGGTTCCTACCTGAGTTCCTACCTTGACTTCCTGCCTTGACTTCCCTTAATGCTGGACTGTAATGTTGAAGTGTCAGCCAAATAAACCCTTTGCCCTGCCCCCCAATTTGATTTTGATCATGCTGTTTATCCCAACAACAAAGAGGCAAACTAAGACAGGAGTCCAAGGCTACCCCGATCTACATAGCAAGCTCAAGGCTAGCCTGAGCTATACAGTGAGACTCTGTGTTAAAAAAAGCAAGGTCAAGGAAGTAATGCAAAGGTACACTGCTCGCCTGGCATGCTCAGAGCCCCCAAAGTCAATCCCTAGCACTGCAAGAAACAAAAATGAATAGCACAACAGCAGGTTCGCAGGTTCACAGGTTCGAGTCCCACCGCGGCTGCCCTGTGCTGTGATCCCGAGCTAGCCCCAGATTCTCTTCCATTGTATGGGAAGAGATGCTTATGCAATTTCTGTTACGGTGAAAATACGTTAGGTGTTGCGTGTCAAAAGAATATTTCCCAGGCTTTAAAATGCCATAGACTGTTAGCCTGTCTGTTAACTAATATGTTCGTTGACCCATCCACATAACTCGTTGACAGCTGACCTAGTTGGATCCTTATAGCCTTGAAAATCAAATGTAAGAACCTGGAAGGGTTACTAAGTTTTGATAGAGTAGAGGAGGAAAAAGCGTGCTTTTAGGATCAAAGGAGGCCAGGGTGCTGGGATGTATCTCAACAAGTCAAGGGCAGGTAATGCCAAGGATGAGCATGAAAGGCTTGGTCAAGGGGCCAGAGGCTTGGAGGGCCTGGGAACCTGCCTGGTCTATTGCTCCCTCTCTAGAGGAGAGATGGCAAACCTATCTCTGCTCTTGAAGGCTATGGAATAGTCCCACAACATCATGATACGAAGGATTTTGTTCTCTCTCCTCTCTCTCTCTCTGCTTCCCCCCCCCATGTGTATGGGAGTGTGGGTGTATGTGTGTGATAACCCTAGCCCTAGCCCTACACACAGCAGGCGACGTGGCCCTCCCCAGGGAAGAGAGTATACCAACTGGTGGTCCAGTGCCAACAGTCCTGAAAACACAGATACAAGTAACACTATATGGACTCAACAGGTTACGTTTGGGAATATTTATGTATAGACAAACACATGTATGCAGACAATAGTAACTGATAAACAAAGAGGTCATGACTTTGGAGGAGAGTGGGGAGGGGTCTGTGGGAGGGTTTGGAGGGAGGAAAGGAAAGGGAGAGATGTAATTAAAATACATCCTCAAAAATAAACAAAAAAGAAAAAGGAAATCAAAGGAGAATGCCATTAATGAAAAGACAAAGCAATGACCCCATCTGCAGAAATGGGAACTCATCATACCCTTGTGGGATAATGAATGAGGGAACAGGATGCTCACTTAGAAGCTACTGTCGAGGCCTGATTAGCGTGTGCCGGAAAACTCACATCTTTAAGCCCCGAGCCTCGGTGTGATGATATTTCAAGATAGTGCCTTTGAAGAGGTAAAGAAAGTAAATAAGGTTCTAAGGTCGGATCTAACTACATGTACCCTTAGAAGGAGGTAGAGACACAGGGGACATATGTGCACAGAGAAGTGGCCACGTGAACACACAGTAAAAAACAGCCATGGCACACAAAAAAGAAACCTCAGTTGCCTCATTACAAAAGGACATCTCGTTCAAATCTGTCATCTATGTGTATATTTAAACCTGAATCATCCAGCAAGGTGGGTACAGTCTCTAAGACAGACCCTCAATGATCGCTGCCTCTTGGTAGTCACACTCCCATCCAGGGATTGATCTAGTGACTTTCTTTGAATAAAAAGCACAGATGGTTCCTTGATTTATAACGATAAACTCATTGCAAGTTGGGAATAGCATGGAGCTGAAATGCATTGAAAACACCCATCCTATTGAATGTCATAGCTCAGAACAATTGTATTGGCCTACAGAGCAGAGAAATAATCCAACACAAAATGCATTTTATGATAAAAAAAATGTTCAATAGCTCATGTAATACAATGGGTGTGTGTATGTGTTCTCAATGCCGCCACGAAGATGAACATTCTCACACCTGTAGCTGGGGAGTATCTGGAGAGCAGCAGAGGTAGGGAGTACCCCTGAGGTGAGGCAGGCAAAGGCCCAGGGCTTCTATCCTGGTCATTCAACTGTTTCCCTCACCCTAAGAAAGTTCTAGAGCAGTCCTACATGGAGGCCTGTCTCAGGGGACCAAGACCTACAAAGCACCACTTCGGTGAACTTGACATTGGATTCCCTGCAACCACAGTTAACCTTTAGGCCGAGAGCTCAGCTATGACCCCATGAGACACTCTCAGCCAGAGGCAGCCAGTTCCTGTACCTGATCCTGAACCACAGAAACAGCTGGATAATACATGTTTGCTGTCTGAGGCCACAAATATTACAGTAATTTGTTGTGCGGTAATAGACAGTGACACCCAATGGAGGGTAACACGTGGCAGAGCAATAAACCTCCAATCCACAAGACCCAGCTCAAATGGTTAATGACTTTTCCGTGACTTCTTGCCTAGAGCAACCTTTGCCTGTCTAAATGTGACAGAGCTGTTCTCGTTGGTCATTTTGCACACTGGTGCCATCTCTTCCTTCCTCTCTTCTGTTTGTCCCTTCAGTCATCGGAGGGTCATTCAGTCATTAAATTCCTTTTGGCCCTGTGTTTGGACAGAGCAGGTGTTTGGACAAATAGAGGAAGAAACTGGTTTTGAGAGGTGAGAATTGTGCCAGACATGGGCTCTTCGCTCGTGTTTGGAAGCTCGCTTGCTGATGAAGGCTTGAGGAACAAAATGGAAGCGGATGTTCAGTTTGGGAAGAACTGGGTTTTGTCTGTATCAAAATGAGGCTTCCGTGGCAAACACCAGCAGCCATTCCTCCTTGGAACTGGTTTCTGGTGATTTCACCCCCCTTGTGGGCAGTCTAGCCTTGTTGGCAATCGTGACCGGCGACAGACAGAGCAGCCCTTGGACACTTGGGGGTCACTTGAGAGGGAAGGAAGCCAATTATTTTCTCAGGCCCCCTGGTCTCACGGTTAATCTTTCTGGGCCTCTGCAGTGGGCCTGGCTGAAGCCCGTTTCCTACACGTAGCCCCACTTATTAAAACACAAATCACACAGACCAAGTGTAAAGGGAAGAGGAAGGAAGGGCTGAAGAACAGAGTCACTGAGAGTTCAGGCTAAGAATAGAGAGGAACTCTGAGAGCTTCTTGGCTGTGGGACGTCCTGCGGGGACTTGGCAAGAGGCCAGGGCAGCTTTGTTTTTTCTAGGCTTTTACAAAGAAAGAGCTGGCCTGGGAGGCAGGAGACTAGGTACCAGGCTGGGCTCTGACAGGCCTCTCTCTGTGACCTTGGGTATGTCCTTCTTTCTAGGCCTCACTTCCTTGATTGTAAAATGAAGGGGTTGGACTAGGCTCCACGATTTTTAAAACCATTTATTTATTTTTATTTTATGGGTGTGGGTGTTCTGCCTGCCTGCTTATATTCACTATGTGCATGCAGTGCCTCTGGAGGCCAGAAGAGGGCATCAGATGCCCTGGAACTTGGGTTACAGAAAATCCTAAGCTGCCACGTGAGTGCTGGGAACCCAATTTGTGTCCCCTGGAAGAACAGCCAAGGCTCTTAACTGCTGAGCTATCTCTCCAGTCCCTAGACAAGACTTTTAACCAATCCGGAGAAGAAACAGAGGAACACAGAATGAATGCTGCCTGGGCCAGGGTGGAGCACCCTGCCTTCTCACCCAACTATTTCTCTTAAAAGCCAGCTTCCTTTGACTTTGACTGCCTCGTGTATAACATAAGCCGTGTGCTTGTTCCTCTGATCCTTCAATCAACCATAAGCCTGGCTTGATGCTAGAGACACCATGGTGAGTCAGGAAGCTGTGTTCATGCAGCGTCCAGTTGGTTGGACCTGGAAGGGAGAAAGAGAAGACAAGCTGTAGTCAGTCATTAGGTGAAGATGTAGTTGATGCCAGGCTAGGTACAATGAGGGGAGAATTACATGTCCTCAGTGAAGGAGGAATTGCCATAGTCTCCATCAATTTCCAAGTCTATGATCAATCTTAGGAGGCAGAGAGAAACACATCTGAATCCAGTTTCTCTCATCGACCTTCCCTCGAATGGCACATCTAAACCAAGCACCCACCAGCCCATTGGCGATGTACTACGTGGGTCAAGCATTTCCCCTAGAGCTTATGCTAGTGTGCAAAGGGACTCATCATTTGTCATGGCAATAAAACATTTTATACTGGGTGGGGCAAGGGGGTGTACACATTTAATCCCAGCATGCAGGAGGCAGAGGCAGGTGGAGCTCTGTGAGTTCAAGGCTGCCTGGTCTATTTAGGGAGTTCCAAGACATCCAGGGATACATAGTGAAACCCTGTCTCAAAAAAAAAAAAAAAAAAAAATACCATTCTGTGATTGCAACTTTTGTGTTCCAAAAGCCCATGTTTATAAGTTAAGAACTATATGAGTGCTGGGAACCCAACCTGGGTCTATTCAACAATGGTAACACCCTAATTTTGGACCTTGTAATGTGTAACTATGAATTCATCCTATACATGATAGGTTCATGTGTATGCATAAGTTCATACATAGAAATTTGGGTTTAGAGGGGCAACCAAAGAGATTTTCTTAGAAATAGACACTGAGAATGTCTCTGAAAGTTTACGGCATGGCTTTAGATAGATAAACATGAGCAAGGACATCAGGATGCAAAGTCCCATTCTCTACTACTAGACCCAGCAGGTCCTTGGGACTTGTAGGAGATAGCTCAAACCAGAGGTGACTAAGTCCAGGCTGCAGGGAGCAATGCGAGCCCCACTTACCGTCAGGGAACAAAACTTTTCTTGATGACTGGCTCTGAATCCCTTGGATTGAGAGGCCTGCTTAATAATATGCTTTCTGAATTCAGACATCCACCTTGCTCCCAAGAGCTGGTTTTGTAACTTACAAAATGGGGGCAGCCGGGCGGTGGTGGCGCACGCCTTTAATCCCAGCACTCGGGAGGCAGAGCCAGGTGAATCTCTGTGAGTTCGAGGCCAGCCTGGACTACCAAGTGAGTTCCAGGAAAGGCGCAAAGCTACACTGAGAAACCCTGTCTCGAAAAACCAAAAAAACAAACAAACAAACAAACAAACAAACAAACAAAATGGGGGCATTAGATGATCCCAGACATCCCACTGAATGCCCGCAAGTATGGCCAAAAGTTGATGCTCTGTAAGAATTTATGTTTTGCCGGGTGGCGGTGGTGCACACCTTTAGTCCCAGCGCTCGGGAGGCAGAGGCAGGCAGATCTCTGTGAGTTCGAGGCCAGCCTGGTCTACAAAGCGAGTTCCAGGAAAGGCGCAAAGCTACACAGAAAAACCCTGTCTCAAAAAAAAAAAAAAGAATTTGTTTTATAATAAACTTGATGTTGACTACTATGAAGTATGAGCAGTGAGACCTTAGGCATGCTCATTTTCTAGACATTTCTAAACCTGCTATGTTCTTTTAAAAAAATATTTACAAAAAAACTAATGTCAGTACATAATTTTTAGAAGTAAAGCACTTCATAATACCACATAATAATTGCTTACAGAGTGTATGAAAAAGTTTTGACTACTGAAGACATGTTTGTACGATATCATGACTTTAATTAATGCCACTCAAACTTACATTTTGAAAGGGTAAAATAGATAGTTTTGTTATATCTAAACTATCATAATGTTAAAAACTAATGTAATATACTAAAAAGCATTGAAGTTTACACTTTCGATGCATCAGTCATGTGGTGCATGAACATATCTTTTGTTGTGTTGTTTTGTATTTCTGTTTGTTTTTTATTTGTTTGGTTTGATTTTTTGATGTGACATCTGGTTATATAGCCTAAACCCCCCCTCCCCAAATTCATGATGCTCCTGTCTTTGCTCAAGATTTATGATAGAAGGTATTGCCACCCCACTCAGCCATGAAACATATTGTAATTTTAATATATTCCCACCCCAACTGAGAACTTCTGGCCTCCTCTAAAGACACCTATTTTTTCTTGCCTTCTGAAAATAGTCTGGATAGAGCAAATACCTCTTAAAATCTATAATATATTTTTATTTTAATGCAAATAGAAAGAAGTGCTATGCTGTTCTTTGCTCTTTTTTCTTACTTAATAGTATGCCTCTTAGATGGTATGTTAACAGCATGTTTACATTTACATCTTTTTTCTCACCCTATCTAGAATCCACCTAAGAACCTAGGGACTTCTTTGATGAGTCCCCATATTGATGAACAAGCTGATTGCTTCAAGTCTTTTACCAGAAGTAGTAAACATCCACTCACTTACAATCTTATGCATAAGCATGAACTTTCATGGATGGGATGAATTCATAGTTACATGGTGCAAGGTCCAAAGTTAGGTTATATCAGGTGTTACAACTGTTGAATGGATTTCCATAGAATCTATACCTACCAGAATTTATACTCCTACCAGAAGTTTATTCAATCATTGTTTAATTCAACCAATATTTGAGTCATACATAATTCTAGGCCTTGGTGGACACAATGTTTAAACAACAAAGACCTTTCCTACTGGAACCTTTGTCTTGTGGGCGAGAGAGCAGAGAGAAAAGTAATATATGTAGCTTACTAAGAGGCACCAAATTCTAGGACCAAAATAAAGCAGAGAAAGCGCACAATAAGTGCTTAGCACAGAGCCTGACCATCGGAGATGGATCTCCAAGACCTTCATGATAAAAGATGAGAACAAGTCCAGCCGGCTGTCCTGGCACCTCCGTCTGAGCACTGTGGAGCAAGCACCCCTCCCTCCTCCAATAAGTAAATAAATGATGAGGAAAAAACAACCTGAAACACGGTCCTGCTAGGTTCTCTGGGTTGGTGTTGAACTCTGGGCTCATGTGGTCCTCTGCTTAAGCCTCTGAATAGCAGGGATTACAAATGTACCTCACCATGACAGATAAGGTCAAGGTCTAACTGGGTAGTTAGGGTATGAAAGATCTAAGTTTCTACCTTCTCATCTGTGAAGTCAGACAATAATAGCACACACACCAGAGACTGTTGAAAGAATCCAGAGAGATTATGTAATTTGTTATAAACAACCTTATAGTGGACAGCACCGTGGCCCAGGGAAGGACAGTTTGGCCACAAGGGAGCAAGAGCCTGGGGAAATCAGCAACTGCAGAGCAACCAGAACCCAGGCCCCTGAGCCTGCACGCCATGCACTCGTGAAGACTCCAAGGAACTCAAAAGCACTAAGCTCTCACAAGCACAAGAAGGCAGAGAAGAGGGGGAAACTTCTAGAAGCAGGCTGCCTGACTCAGGCCTATGGCCGAGCCTGCTGGAGCTTGCTCACAAGATGTCCACTTCCAGGATGGTGCTCTCAGCCAAAGGCAACAAGCTTGCTGGCTGCCCTGGCCCATCTGCTCCGATGAGACTCTCCCAAAGCCTGGACTCCCATTGGGTTCAGTCCAAAGAATCTCTTGGAGGGAAGATAAGCAGCTCTTGAGTCGCAGCTGTAGAAATACACAGGCCCAGAGGAGCACATGCATCTGTTTGCCTGGGCGAGACTCTCAAGTGGGCCGAGGGTATGGCGGACATTGCCCCTCAACTTCCTGTGTGTCCTTGTCTCACCCGGTGACACCTCCTCTTTTGTCCACAGTGAGATCCCTACTTCTCTCTTCTTCTGCTCCCCAGAGCCCTGTCCTTGCCTGGGTTCTAACCCTCCTTCAATGAGAGACCCCCTTCCTTTTACTCTTTGTACTTAACTCCAATGTTTTTATTACCAAGAAGTGGTAAATAAAAAGAGAAATATCTTAGCCCTGAGTTGAATGTTATGTAATACACACATGAACCAAAATATCACCTGGTGCCCCATATATATGTACTATTCTATTGTGTCAATTAAATTTAAAATACAATATATACGCACATACATAAACACAATAAATGTTCTTATAAAGAAAATTTTCTTATAAAACAAAAAATGGGTGTGTTATAATAGTGTCTGATCTAAGAAAAGTGATTCAAAACAATTTTTTTGTTTTGTTTTGTTTTGAGACAGGGTCTCACTGGCTATGTAGACCAAACCATCCTTGAATTCACAGAGATCTGCCTGCCTCTGCCTTCCAAGTCCTGGGATTAAAGACGTGTGCCACCATGCCCAGCTTGTGATTCAAACTGGAGAACTCGCCCTCAGAAGAACAAAAGATGTTAAAGCTATGTCTAATATTTGTATTTTTCCTGTTCCCATTTCTGTTTCAACTTTGGGCAGCTACATTAACAGATGAACCTTTTGCTGGTATCAGCCTCTCCCGAACTTTAAAACCCAAGTTATATATAATCTTTCCAGGAGGCACTCATATCCTTTTCTGTTTTTATTTGAGACAAGATCTCTTGTTCTTTAGCCCAGACTGTCCTGAAATTTGACTCCTCCTGACTCAACCAACCAAGATCTGTGACCACAACACCTCTAGAATCCGTGTCCATTAACCTTATCCCTACTGACTGGAGCCTAGGGCACCCACAGGTGAGATCAGGGACTTGAGACTAATCTGTGACAATGACTGACTGCATCATTGCCCCTGTTGGAAAAACAGTATGAAGTCTAAATTTTTCTTCTTCAATTGATTGTTAGGCTGACAACAGACTCGAGTCTTAGTGCATCACAGGCATGGCAACATAAAAAGTAATAGGTAGATGAATAAACAAACAAATAAAGCAAGCAAGCAAACAAGCAGTTGGAGACGCTCAGCATCTTAGTTGGGGGGAAAAAGGTAATCTAACAGAACACCATTTTGTCACACCTCCAGTCAGCACTGCTTTCGAGAGGACCAATATTATGAACATAGATGCAAAAAAAAATCATAACAGGGCTGGAGAGATAGCTCAGAGGTTAAGAACACTGGCTGTTCTTCCAGAGAT